GTTATGATGCAAGAGTTCGAGTTTAGAGCTTTTAGTTCAATTTAGATTAAAAGCAGAAATATTCCATAGCTCAGGCTGTAAAAATATGAATACATATTGATAGTGTACAGAATCAAAAAATGAATTTTGTTTGTATTTAAATAACTGCTTCTGAGTTTTTCAAGTGCTTAGTGATTTACATTAAGTTTTTTTGCGAAAATTTAAGGTTTCATACTGATTAAATCATACATCTATTCATGTAAAACTTAAAAGTAGTAAAGCAATTTTGGCTATCTTGACATTTCATCTCGTTCTGTCATTGATAAAAACTCCCAACACCTCAATATGGTCGGTAGTACGCATTTTCATTTTCATATTTCATGAAAAAAACTCCTTCTCTTCCTTCTTCCTTTCATGTAAAAAATAGCTTAAGAGGCTCCCCCCCCCCCTCAGGAATCGTTTTTCGTTATTCGTGGTCCGATTTGGCTGAAATTTTCGGACAATATGTGTGTTATGTTAACTTAATGTCTTGCAAATTTTTGGCTCATAAGGTTTTTGCTTTAATGAGTTATTGACGAATTAGTCCTCAAAATGATGATCTTCGTAAGGTACCGATTTCTCGGGCTGTTGAAGAAGTAGAGAGCTGTCGTTTGTTTTACATAAAAGAGAAGACCTAAATCTTCAAATGTATATACCGTTTTTTCGAAATTCGTTTTTGTTCGGATTTTCGAGACATTTTTCTGCACTAACTCGAAAAATAGCGCTTTTTGCCATCAGTATTATCCATTTATCTCCGCAAGGAAATCGAATTTCGAAAAAATGGTATATACATTTCTAGACACAGGTCTCTTCTTTTATTTAAAAAAAAATGGTAGCTCGCTACCTCTTCTACAGTTCGAGAACTCGGTTCCTAACTTTCCAAAAAAGTGATTTTGAGAAAACCAATCAACAAAGTTGTATGAAATAATTTTTAATTTCACTATGACTGTCACAACCTCTATACGGCAACTTCATCATGTATACAGGATTTTAAGCAGAAATGACTACGTTTCTCTAATTAATTAATATAATAGAACGTATATGTGTTTTTCATTAAACAAAATCTACAAGTTTGTTGACCACTGTCACATCTCCCTAACTAAAAAAAATTCTGATAAAACCTTATATTTCTACCAGTGCTTCCAGAAAACCGTTCTTTTCACCGTCCAAAACCATTCAAAGTGCAACAAATCGCACATAATCTGAAAGAGGACACTTTGGGCTTTCAGCATGTGTGCTTATCTCAAAATCGATTTTTTTTCAAAAACAATCGATTTTCTGAGGGGGGGAGCCCCTTAAACATAACAAGTTGACAATTGTAAATTTTTATTTTTCTTCATTTATATATATATACTCGAAAAAGATCTTAATTAGGAAGAAACAATATTTGTAATAAATAGATATACTGTGAGAAACATGAAAAACAAATAATTCAATCATCTAAATAAAACCTAAATCATAGACACCTAAAATTAATTTGATAGAAAACTTTTACACTTTTTAATTATTGATCATTTAAGTTTTCATCTGGAGCAGGAATATTAATGAAAAAACCATTAGTTATATTTTTAATGATATTTTGCAAAACAAACGTCAATTGACGAAATTATTTCTTATCATCTGATGTTTAGAAGAAAAAATTTATTGGATAGATTAGTTTTTATATACAGTGACAATATTTACAAAAAGTTGCTTGGATGGCGCTAAAAAAAATGAATATTGGATTTTAAAATAAAAACGCAAAAGGGAGAGTGTGCACACAAAAAAAAATAAAAAAAAACCTACTTGTATTTGAATCAGAAAAATATAAAAATAACATGGTAATTTTTCTCTGCTCTTTCACCTGTGGTTTAGATAAATATTGAATGAAATTTTCTGAAGATGTCGCTTATCTTCATGGAAAGCTTTAATTAAGACTTTTTGACGAATCTCTATAACCTTCAACTAATTATGACTAATGTTGAATGATTCTGATGAAGAAATCTATTGATTTGGTCTATTCTTAATCATAAAATCAATCGAGAAGAACAAAAGCATACTGACAAAACTAGATAAATATCATTTAGATTCTTATTTTGGTACACTATTTTATAAAACAAAACCATAAAATGAATATTTGAAAATAGTTCTTCGTATATAGAATAAAAACTATTTAAGTTTTCTTTGTTATTAATATCTCTCTTAACATGCTTGTTGAGAGATATAAAAAGGAGCTTTCGCTTAAAAACACTCTTTATAACATTACATGGAATAAAAAAAGCATACCAATCAACTCAGCAGTTTTGTCATTCGTTAAAATAAAATATAAGTGACTAATAATGGCACGAGGATCAACATATGTAATTAATAATTATAAATTTAACCATTTGTTTTGCTTTTGTTGAAGTATACTAAACGTTTCTACGTGCAAATATATCTTATTATCTTTGTACTGATTGAAGCAAACATAAACTGCATCTACTGGGTTTTTTCCCAGTAACTATTTATCAGTCGCGATATGGGAGAGAAATATAAATATTGTGGGACACTTTTAAGTACTGTGCACTCATATACAGATATGAGAACAACTATAAATAGTTATTGCTAATGAAGTCTTTTGAAACAATAATATTTTAAATAAAAATTCATGTATGAATATTTTTTCATATATATATATTTATATTGAAATAGGTTCATAAACTGCTAACCTAACAAATAAATGTCATATTATAGTCATTTATTTATTTTTCGTTTCAGTTTCAGTGTTTAGAAGAAAGCAGTTTTTAATTAAACTGCTAAGAAGATCATAATAACATTTTTGAAGAAATTTAATCAAAATTTTTCTAAGTGAAGTATCAAATATCTTTATTTAAAAAAGACTTATATTTAATTGAGCAATAAAATAATCTAAATGAGCAATACAATGATTTAAGTGAGCAATATTGAAATTGAGCAATAAAGAAGTCAAATGAGCAATAAAGAAGTCAAATGAGCAATAATATATTGAATTAGCAATAATAATTCTAAATGAGCAATAATAAATCTGAATGACAAATAATTATTTTGAATGAGCAATAATTTATTTAATTTAAACATAAATTCTATATAAAAAATAAGGGTGTGAGTGTGGGTGTCGTGTGAGGTGTGGCTGTTGGTTCTGATATGATGGTAGATCAGAAGAACACCCGTACCTACACCCACACCCCACACCCAGACCCACACTCACACCCACACCCACACACCCACATCCACCCACACTCTATATTGACCATCTATGTATTAAATATCAGAATATTAAAAAAGTAGATTCATGGCAAGTGACTAATATACATATACTACAGATGAGAGCTATGATCATTCCGTTGATGAAAAAAAACAAGAAGCATTAACGTAATTTTCTTCTATTTTAATAAAACATAAATTCATAGGAATGAGGATTTCTCGATTGATGACTCATGTGATAACTATCAAGAAACTGTCAACGGCATACTGATTGGTATTGTGTGCATTATGCCGATGGTTCACTGCTAGTTTTTTCGAAAGCAGTGTATCTTGGTGTATTGTATCAAAACGACTGAATATTTTTTTAGGTTTCTTAAAACTGACTTAAATGAGTTATTTTCTATGTATTCTGAGAACGTTGATACGCTTGAGCTGCCCTATTCTAGCCATAGAATCCAAGTCAACCTCCATTATGAGACAAATTTGTATTATTCAAATATCTTTTAAATCAGCTTTCTCGCTTAATTTTAATTCTTTCTGATAAAGAATTCAAATTTTGATAGAAAAAACATTCTGCAACCTTTGAGATAGCTAGAACCGAAAGTCGTAAGTCATAGTACCGTTTTTTTATGAGTATCGTGATATTCTACCGGTAGTGCAAACAAACATGCTACATGAGAAATTCATCGCCAATAGTTTGTTGATTTTTAGCTGTATGTTTCTGAATTATCAATGAAATAATCGTTTAAGGTGGACAACGATCACAAGAATATTAAAAGAAATAATATCAGTTAATAGCATAATTACGAATCTTGAATATAATGATAATAAGATGGAGAAAGCGTCTAATTTTTATTGACTTTAATCGAAAAACATAATATTAATCAAGTACAAGTGGGGGTTAAAGAATATAACTCGTTCTGACCATAAGCTATATGTCTATGTCAAAAGTAAACAGTTCCACTTTATGTATAATCAACGTCTTCCGATTTCGATATTACTGAGAATATTCAATTCTTCTTGTAACATTCCTTCTTCAATATATTTCATATACTGCTCTTGACGAGAAAAATTTACCAATTCATATTCTCTCTGTCGGTCAGTTGCTAGATCTTTAACTTGCATTGATATTTTTCTACTTTTGTTCGCAACTTCTTTCAAATAAGTCTCTCGGTCGTCATCGTTCTGTAATGAAAGAACGCCAGATAATTCAGCTATTTGTTCTATCATGTATGCATTTGATACATCTGAGTATGTTTTAGCCATAAGAAAAAGTAAATGAGAATCACGATCAATATCAGTCACTGATTCCACTAATAATACAAGGAAGAGTGTCTCATCAATTGGGTCCAACGGTTTGCCAATAAGTTCAGCATCAGAAATGACGCCAAGGAAATCTTGTAAAATTACCTACAATTACAACAGTAACGTATTATTCAAGTTCTTCAGCCATGCAAAGCATAGACAAGCATAGGCATCATTCGTTTGTCTTACTTTTTGTGTATGTTCTGTATTAATAGTAAGAGTACTGAAAAATCGACTAAGACGACTCCATTGACCTTGAAGTAGTGCAATATTTTTTGTAGCATCAAGCAAAATCTTAATTGTTTCATTGATAGATAATTCATGTAAATTAATTGTTGTTAAATTATTAATGACAGACTCCAATTCATTTTGTTTATTCATTTGCTGATTATAAATATTTTTACTGTTTTTCTCTGCTTCTTTAAGAATATTCTTTAAAAAAAACTTAAAAACCAAATAATTGGAGATAAAAAAACAACTTACCAGGGCTTGCTGAGCCTTTTGCTGTGCTTCTGCACTATAATCAGCAAATTGTTGATCCCGGAGAGATCTACAACGACGTCGTCCATACCAATTCCGCTTGCAGGTCTCTGCAGGACGCTGAGAAGCATAAACATTCCACGCATGGGAATCCCAACCATCACCTGGTACATTCTTCATAGCATTATGATAATCTTGTCGAGTCTTTTCTAAATTTTTTCGTGCAGTTTCATATTGGGCTGTTATGTCAGCAATAACATTATCCATTTCCTTTTTTTCTTTTCTTATATCTTCAGCTTCTGCTGCTAATTTCTCAGCTGTTTCTTTATTATCACTATTGGTTAAAGTGGTCACTTCAAGAACTTCATGTAGCAAAACCTGAAGATATTCAAATCGCTCAAGCGAAGCTCGAGCAACAGCAGCACTTTCATTAGCATATCGGCCAATGCTTGCTAAAGTTCGAGGTAACAGTGCCTTGTTCAATACCGTTGACGCTTGAGTAATGAGTTTAATAGCGGTTTTCAAGAGTGTCGGAATCTGCCGCATACTAACCTGAATACTTTCCATACTTGTATGAGCGCCATATAATGCTCTGTACATATCGTGAGAAACTTGCATAAGAGTAGCTTGAAAAGATTCAGGATATTTAACAAGTGTATAGTTAAAGTCTGTTTTGAGTGGAAAGTCTTTTCTACTTGCAATAGCCATCACAGAACCTAATAAATTAATACTGGCTGGTCCAGCGTCCATTAGATCTTCCCATTCATTTTCTAAATCTGGTTGATATTCTATTGGCTCGTCGATAGTTGAATCGAATAAATTTATAGAATTGAGACTCTTCGTGGACACTATATATCATAGAGATAATTAGAGAAAGTAATAAAAGAACTTTTTTTTTAATTAATTGACTTTTTCAAACTATACATGATTGAATGTTTTTTCTTTGAGATAGTTATTTTTTTGATTGTACGAAAAACTGTAAAAAAAAGCCTGCATCGCAGAAATAACGAACTATTTATTTATTGTTTTCGACAAAAAGGCTGAAAAAATATTCGAGATATTTTTGAAGAAGTAGATTGACAATATCTAGAGCAAGTATTACTCTGAAAATCGTTCAGATTTTAATGTAATTTTGTTTTCATTTATATAAAACAATTTGCATATTCTATGATAGTTTGATTTCGATTCGATTAAAATTTTTGTATTATTTTAGTGCCATGTGTTTTCAAGTCTTCTTACCTGGAATGAAATCATATCCACGTTCAAGTTGATCCAAAAATTCAACATCACTTAATTTAGGCAAATTCATTATTTCTTTTGTGCTCATACGACTGATTGTTTTCATGTAACTATCAACAAATGGATCAGATTCTGGAGACATGAAAATGAAACGAGGATTAGAAGGTTTTGCTGTTATTTCACTTATTGAGCTCATAACGAGAGCCAAAATCAATGCATAGATTGAACCTTATAAACAAATTGAATTAATAAGAAAGAATCAGAAATACAAAAATTACCAGTATCCATAGCTTATGCAAAAAAGTTGATTGTATTATTTTATGACTTTAAAACCTCTTTATATGAGAGGCGAAGGTAGAAATGTTGGTATAGACATATGTCAGTCGGTTTTATTCTCATATCGTCTTTCTCAATAAAAACTGTTCTTATCAAGGATATATTTTTCGTTGAAAAGAAAGCCCAAAAACAATAAAGAGGTTAAACATGCACTCTTACTTGTTGGTGTTTCACTTGCGCACAACAAGCTGGGCACTATGAGAGTCGTAGTGTATTTTGCATTTCGTATAATCAATAGAGAAACTCGAAAAATATTTCTGTGGATTACAGTAATCGAAAATTGAAAAAGCAACATATGACAAAAATATCAGACTAACAAAGCAAGTTTCGGTTGTTTTACGAAGTATGTTAGTATCGATGATATGATATTGTCGATTTTCATACCACAAAAATTGTCTTCTGTGATGAAAGTCAACTTGTTGTTGAAATAACATCGGTTATAGTAACAAGAACTTCTATACAAAGTAGATTTTGATTTAAAATTGACATATATGTTGGTTATCTGAAAATAATCTCTGTCTGAAGCCTTGTATTGAACTTTTACATCAGAACAACTATGAAGAACAATACCTCTGTGATTGACTGAAGGTTGCCCTGTGGAAAGCAAGAGAAAAACTCTAAACAAGATCATGAGTAAGAGCCCCTTCATACTCAAAAAAGCAATTTGAATCAGATACTAATGTGAATGATTTCTGATAGAGAGGACTATGTTTGATTTGAATATTCCGAGAATATACAAAAAAAATCATATTTTTTACATGTCGTATATGGAAAAACGAGTCTTGGTTTGCATCCTTACGCGAGAGATCTGAAAATATGCTCATTCGATGCAGCATGGAAAGCTGCATCTATTGGTATAGTTATCAAAATGGCTTGCATATGGCATAATCGCAAAATTATTGAACCTAACAAGATGTTTCTTCTTAAGAAATCGATTAAACGAGACGAAAAAGGTGCCAACTCTTACAAGCTCCTTTATTTATCGTATGATTTTATGGCATGTTATTCGTCATAAGATAGGGAAAAAAGGTTACGTATCCAGTTAAAAAAACACTTTACTAATAGTAAAAAAATCCATTTTTTCTCCTATCTATGGATCAATATCAGACAAATAGTACGGTATTTCGAGATTTTGTTTTTCAAAAATGTATCATTATCGGAAATAGACATCATCAAAAATTATGTCCCATAAAAACGTCACATGTACTTCTCCGGTGAGTTTTTCCCCTCAATTTTTCCTTGTGGTACCCCTGGAGACAAAATCTTGTCGAGACTTATTTTCTGATGGTGCCTAGGCAGTTTACGATTATTTTGATGCGCTGATTCCGAATATAAGTTTTGGTGATCATAAAGATTTCATCGATAGTAAAATATTTTTTAAACCGATACATCACTTTTTTCTCCCATCATATGGCGAATAAAATGACATAAAATCATAGGATAAATGATAGAGCTAGCAAGAGTTGATGCGTTGTTGGCATAGTTAAACAGATTTCTTGACGGAAGAGACTTTTGAGGCTCAACAATTGTTTGATTATGCCACATGCAAACATTTTGAAAGCTATACCAGTAGATGCATGTTCTCATAGTGTATCAGACGGGCATATTTTCAAATATCTTACTTGAGAATACTACTGAAATATAGCTGAATTTATTGAAAAAAAACACTATTTTTTTCCTATATAAAACATGTAAAAAATGCGATTTTTTCGTACATTGTTTAGATAATTTTCAGTGAAGTTTGTTTCGAAAAATGGCCAGCTACAGCCATCCATACCCTTTTACCATTTAAACATTTCTCTATTTACCAATTCAAATACATAAACGCCAAACATCTCAGTTAGTCATTTGATGTTTATTTGATCAAATTTTTTGACACGATTGTTCCATGAAGGAACAGCATAGATGGTCGACATATTATTCTCATTAGACAACATACATCTTGAAAGAATCCATTGCCAGAGATGTTATAATGCTTTGTTTTACTGAAAACTCATCAAGTTGACACATTTGAATATACATAATGCAATTATTATTATCTGCATAGAACATCTTCATTTGTTGATGAATATAAAACTGCTGTACGAGCATGTTGTTATCCAGAAAGATGTGGATGTCAGTTTGAGTGCAGGTGTATAATGTTGCTGGATCACGAAAACACTGATAATAACAGTCATACTTGTTCGTACAACATCATTAAGACTTCTCTGATGATCTACCGTTGTCAACAGGGACGCTTAAAAAACATTAGCTATTGACAGTCGATACCATTCTTGTGTTGACGAACCTAGAACATTCTTTAGTCCCTTCTCTAATAATATTTCTCTTGAATTATTTATAATTTGTACATTTTGCACAAAGATATTTTCTTGAGTATTACATCAGAGTGCTAATCAATAGGCAGAAATGTATATATCATATACACTAAATAATATATTGTTGCTATTAAGCATCGAATCCTTTTTTGCCTTAATATCGTTAAAATAGATTTGCTTCAAGAACAAGAAGTTCGAAATTTATAAAGATGAGTATGTACAACTGTAATAACTAGATATCAACTATATATATAAGAATAGTTATCGAAATTCGTTGGGTTTATTGTTTTTGTTTACATATTTTAAGAAAAATTAAACTCTAGGCAAAACTGACCTTACGCATAATTTATTTCTAATTCAGCGCGAAACTACGACAAAAATTTCTTTCATATAAAAAAAAAAACTCTAATTTTCGTTTGCAGCAATAAAACACCACGAACTTCTTTTTTAAAAATAGACAGAGTACATGTTTTCACTAATTCAAACTGTAATATTAGCACCATTATTTAATTCTTCATCGAAATGGGAAAATAAATTTTGAAAATATTTTTTTATGACGAAGCCAATCAAAATTTTACATTGTTCGAGTTTAGATTCTAAGAGAAGATAGCGACTTTTTTACCACAGATAATGCATAGGCTGTAAAATCCTTCATTATTTTTGCTTGAAACCAGGGGTGTCACACTTACCACTTACCACCACTTTTACTTATCAGGTAAGTAGTAAGTGTTGTAACCATCGAAAAATTATCGGTATAGCACTAATAAATGATCATGTTAGTTATTGATTATTTATTCTTGCATAGTAATCTTCACCACTTACCACTTACTGGTAAGTGATAAGTAGTTTGTATCTAATTGAAGACAGATCAATCACGACACATAATTGATGATTTCACCATAAATCTTTCGTGGCCTTTTTTTTGAATAATTACATTTAGGCATGCATCAGTACAGTCCGACTAGGACCCAATCGGCGACTGAATGCCAGTCCGATTGGGTTCTATTCTGACTGAAGTATCCAATTCGATTGTGTCTAACATGAATGATGATTGGTATTTATAGAACACGAATCAGTAGGTATTCCTGCAGATTCATTAAGTTTGGATTCAGTCCCTAGTAGGGACTAAGAGTGGTGCATACCTAATTAGATCATCACGTGTTTTTTCTTGAGTCGCTTAGGTTGCATTATTTGAGTTAGTCTATCACTTAGCAACAGTCATCTAGAAATGGCCTCCTTAAGTTTTCAAGGGGCCATCTAACCGTGATTTCTTTATCTTTTCGAGATTATGTAGACGTAAACAGTATAACTTTTCGAGGCCTATCCACGGTAGATATGCCACACTCACTGTTACTTCTACTTCCATTTATCAAAATAACAATAAGTGTTTTATTATTGAAAATTTTCCTATATGGCAGTAAAAAGTAGTTAATTTAAGCATTGATTATTTGTCGTTGTATGGCAATCTTCCTTGCCTATCGCTAATTACTAAGTGGTTAGTGGTTTGTTTTGAAATGAAGGTAGGCCATTTACGACACTTATCGATGAATCCATCAGCTACCTTTCATGACATTCCTTGACCATTTAAATTATCACGTGTCATTTTACCAGCCATTCAGTTAGTCTTAAGAATCGTTAATGTAAACGACCTATTGTCAGTGGTGCAGAATCTGCCAGAGTCTCCAAACATCAAGCAGAATAAGCTGAAAAGTTTCTCAAGATTTTATAGTCATATGAGCTCGTATATTACGGAATGCATCTGAAGCTCTGTTTCTCCAGACAGCATTGCTACTATGTGAACGTAGATTCTGCATCCCTGTATCAATTAACTGAAAATCATTCACCTGCTTGCAATCAAAGATTAGTGATGAAGATTATTATACAAAAGTGTATTATAAATGATCGATCTAGGACTTACTAACAATAATTGAGTAGTTTTTTAATGATAAACACTTGGCTTCGGATTCGACCTATATTTCCTATAATACTTATATTTTTGAGAAATCCTTTATTTTGTCCTATTTTTCGATTAAAATTCCTATTTTACCTATATTTTAGCGAAAAAAGTAGGAACTGTTGGAAAATATGTAATTTTTGCTAGTCTTCAGATGTTGAGAGACATATAGAGTGTGTAGTCATGTGTTTTAAACAAGCTCCTGTAGTATAGCGATATCTGTTTTAAACAGTTAGCTTTTTTTTATTTCGGCCTCTATAATAGGTTCACTTAGGGCGTGAGTGTGAGTAAATCTTCTGTTTCTTCCCTCATCCACACCCACAACCTCTTATTTAGATCTCTTTTCAAAAAAGGGGTCTTCCCCATTCTAAAATGAAATTGATATGTCGCTAGACCTGTATCTAGGAGAAATTTTTTTAGAATTCCGTACGAACTCATCGAGCCTTTTCAGCTTGGTAAGTTCGTACGGGATCTAAAAAGGATCTTGGCCTGGATGCAAGGTCGGCATAATACCTAGTTTGCTTTTAATCTAGGGTTTTTGCCGCTTGAATTTAGAGCAGAGAGACTTCGTCAGTGACAATATACGATTTAATGAAGAACAAACAATTCCTTCTCCGCTGAAAACTTGGTAGTACAACGCATATACCACCGTTCTCAAAGGCTGAAATCTATGAAAAACCTAT